GAGATGCATACCATATACCATTTTTATAATACATTTTTAATTGATGTAAATACAATCAAATTTAAATACACTTTACATTGGCAAAATTAAAAACCACATGCTTCCATCTCTGTAATGCTGTGGTTTGGGTTAACCAGGAAAGTAAGATGGGACAGTTATGAAAGATCTGATAAAATCTGGTGATATAACATGCATTGTTTTGGTGCTTTGTGACAGAAGATCCAGTTCACCAAATCTGATTGGCAACAGGCTCCGGTCCTCACAAGTGTAGAAGAAAAAGATTTTTTTATATTTTGAGTTTTCTGAACTGACATTTTGATTCTCTGTTGCCACCTCATGATAGATTTGTGTTTTGCACCATTGTAGCTATAGTAGAAGTGGTGGCCCTCACAAAGAAGTCACAGAAAGTGGGCCACACAAAGGCATAAAGACATGTATGTATGTGTGTGTGTGTGAGAGAGAGAGAGAGAGAGAAAAACAGTGTGAGTGCACATATTTTTGGGTGCGCTTTGAACTTCTGTGTGTGTATGCATTTGTCACAATGCACCCATCACCAGGAGCCATGGCAGGGCTGTGACAGCAGCCATTACAGATTAGCCACTCCTGCGTGACTAATAGCTGGCCCAGGAACAGCAGAGCAGCTTCATATGCCCCAACAACACACTCACACATTCACACAGAACGCAAACTTTTCAAAACGTACACCTCAAAGCAATTCAAGAGCTGTTAAATTAGATTACAACTCAGTATGTTCCAGTTTGCTTGCTCCTAGCACTTAACCAATCTATCCCACATCTTCAGTAGTGATAACTTGCTATTAGTCTGGTGAAAGCTTTGCTGCACCCACTCCGAAATCGCTATGACCACAAAAGCAGTACTGTGCATGGTGCAGTAATCCCATTTAAAGATATGCAAAGAGGGAATCTTAAACATGATTTCTATTCATCATTCATAGATTCTTACTATTAATCTCATGATTCTGCCTATGTAAACTTAATTTGGAGAAAGAAAATGAACAGCTTTGTCACAAGTGAATAAAATGGAAATGACTCATGGTAGGTGCAAACAACTGCAAGAGTACTTGTACTTGCTAAAAACCAAGCAAAAATAGAAATGACCACATTAGTCAATACTTTATTTATCATGAGAAATAAGCAAAAATATATAGTAAGCTATTATATCAATAAAGTGGCTACAAAGACTGTAGGGGGCAGCAGTGATTGCAACTGATCATGACAAAATATGGAAGGACCCCTAATGTGATAAAGTATTAATATTAATAGCTCTTTCTCTGTTTCAGTTTCCCCTTTACTTATTCTGTTACAGCCAGGCAAGCATGCACATACGCACACAAACACATCCCCACACTCATAACAGCCACTCCACTGAGAGAAGTAATGATCCATAGCAGTGCCCATGCCCATGGAGTGCTAACCAAGACCTTGTATCTGCCAAGTGAGCATCCTTTACTGTCTCTGACTGACTCCCCGTCAGCTTGCCAAGGTAGGAAGAAATACACACACCCTGCAGGAGAGCTAGCTGTTAGTGTAGCTCAGGCACTTCGTAGTGTAGGTCGGTGGGTACTGTAAACTGCTTTATATAACACAGTAAAAAATAAATAAATAGAAGTGGCAATGACATCGCTGCCAGTATCTGTTACTGTGACTACAGTGATAATGCAGTGATAATGATATGCTACTTCTGTGATCCCTGAAGAGAAATTCTCTTTTTCATTTGCCTCCTCCAGGGAGGTCAGGTTGCTGGGTCAGCACCACAGAGGCTGCAGAGGATTCAGTGGGTGGCACAGGGAAACTTCAGCAAAGTGCATGACTGACTTCCTCAGTATAAAAGTGTCACAGTTTTTATGACCCATTTCACTGTGCAACAATTAGATTCTTTAGAAAAATCAAATTGGATTGGTTTAATACATTCACAGAAACCATCCTTTTGGGGAAATTGTGCTGTTTCAGTTGAATGAGCTATTAGGACAGACAACATCAAGCACTGCATTTACAAAGCAAATGGCATACATACGAATTGTGCAAATATGGAATACATCAACAACTGATTCTTTCAATTGCATGTTATTAAGCAATAATGAATTAATACAGCAAATGTGTAAGGCCATGGAAGTGAAAATAGAAGAATAGTTCAATTTAGAAATGTAGCAATATTAATAATAATATGCTACTGTCAAAAAAAAAGATCATGCGTAGTCAGATTTATAACTGTGTCCCTGCATTGTCA